ATGGCAGCTCCATTGTTCCCTATGGAGTACCCCCCCACACACACACACACGTAAGGAACTACCAGGCTGGCATCCATTTCAAGGCCTGGCAGCCATTTCGTCACAACTGAGAAAGGCCATACCAGTATGTGGAGGAGGGGGGGGAATCAAACCCAGTTCTCCCAGATTGGAGTCCACACTCCTAACCACGACACCAAGCTGGCTCTCAATGGTGGCTGAGCCACATAGACCTTCTGCAAATCGCCAAACTTAAGAATCCCTTGGGATCGATCCATTTGGAGGACAGTGATGCAATCAGCACCAGACAGGCTTTTAAAAACTGCCAAGATCACGACCAGTGTGCAGGATCAAATTAGAGAATCACAAAGAGAAAACCACATTTGCTAGGAAGGGCAGGAAATCAGCATTCCTCTTCAGCTGCACTAGGATATTGGTGAAAATACCCCTCCCCCATGTGTTTCCCATTTGGTGGCACAAGACTAAAGAAGCTCTCCAGAGCTTCTGCCAGGGGACTCCTCCCCCTTACAACTTGCAGCCCTGTGCAAAGCACGGTGGAGTTGCAGCCGACTTTGCACAGGGGCACGTGTGCGCACACGCACACACATTGCCAACCACCACAGCTTGCAATGCCAGTTTCAGTGGGTTCTACCGTGCATTTCTGTACACTCAACATGCATTTTGCACCAGCTGGAGTTCCCAGATCAGCTTCAAGGGTAAGCCTGCATAAAGTGAGCCAAGTCCTGGTGGGAGAAATAGTAGGGTTGCCAGGTCCCCGGGGGGGGGCAGGGGTCTGCCCACTTGATGGGCCCCTTACCTGACAGCCTAGATCCAGCCACTGAGGGGAGCCCCATCCCCAAAGTGCCGGGATCTTGGCAACCTGCCTGGCATGGTGACATCACCCAGAGGTGACATCATCATGCCAGGCACGTTGCTGGGGGGGGGTGCTCTATCATTTGAGGGAAAACTCTATGGTTTTCCCTCGAATGATAGTGGTCCCACCCCCCAAACATGCCTGACACAATGATGTCACTTCCGGGTGACGTCATCACACGCGCGCACCGAAGAAGTCCCGGGGAGGGGCTGGGACTTCCCCACTGCAGCTGAAGGTAGGACCTGGAAACCTTGAGAGATAGGGAACCAGTTAACTGATCTGCTGGAGATGTTAAAAGGCAGACCTGGTAACTGTGGTGACCTGGGCCTCCATAGAAAGTGAGGCCTCCAGAATCACCCCAAGGCTCCTCACCTTCTGGGCCGGCACCAACGGTGCCCCTTCTAAGGCAGGGAGTCTGATTCCTGAATGTTTCTTTAATTCTCTCTCCACTTTCCAAGTGCATTTTTTTTAAATCACTCCTCTTTTTCCCTGCAATTTGGGCTTCCAGGCCAGCATACCCAGTAGAAATCAGGTACACTCAAAGGACAACTTTATCATCAGTAATTGAACCTCTGTTTGGGACTTGTACAAAAAGAAATTGGTTCCCAATGGTGAGGGAATTAGATAAAATCCAGAATTTCCAGCTTTAGTCATTAAAAACATGGGAATGTTGTAATCTTGATACTTACGCAGACTTATGCAATATTCAACACTGAGACAGCTGCTTATCAAAGTAACTGAAATAGTAACCTATTTGAATACCTTCCAGTAAAAAAATTCTTAAAAAGAAAACTTTATGAGGATTTAAATTTAAGACAAGGTTTGACACTAGACAAAATCATCATGGGAGACCATTGCCATTTATCGGCAAAAATAGTTATTGCCCTTCACGATATGGAACTGGCGAGCAAAAAACCCCCTTTCAAATGAATTGGGAAAAGGATTTGGATTGGACCATCTCTAGTGAAATTTGGAGGTCCACATTGACATCAGGCGTTAAATTAGGAATGTCTTTTTGGGTTAAGGAGAATTTCTTGAAAATGTTACATCAGTGGTACCTTGTGCCATATAAACTAGATAAAATGTGTGTTGATTTCCTGGATAAAGGCTGGTACTATAAATCACTGATAGCAGACTTTCCCCATATGTGGTGGACTCGTTTGTGAGCAAAAAACTTTGGCACACTATGACCCATGGACACACATGAAGCTGCCTTCTACCAAAAAGGACCCTTGGTCCACCAAGGTCAGCATTGGCCCAATCTGCATTTGCTATGTAAAGCTGCTTCGTGCTGCTGTGGCCCCGGCTTCCCATTTGGCTCAGTATAAAGCTCTCCTCTGTCTGCATCGGGATGCAAGCCGTTTAGGGAGAGCACGAGGGGGGGGGAGCAATCTCCCAGGGGCACTGGCAGGGCGCTGCACTGTGCTGCATTGCGGGGAGGAAATGGCACCTGCGACCCCCCCCCATTTGACTCAGTATAAAGCTCTCCTCTGTCTGCATCGGGACGCAAGCCATTTAGGGAGAGCGCGAGGGGGCGAGCCTCCCTGGGGCACCAGCAGGGCACTGCGCTGTGCTGCATTGTGGGGAGGAAATGGCACCTGCGACCCCCCCCCGAAAGTAAAAGGAGGTGACCTGGCCGACGGGGAAGCAGAGGGGGGGGCAGGAAAGACAGAACGAGCTGGGTAAAAAACACAAAACACCCAGCAGTTGCCAGGAGACTGCCCCAGGAAATAACAAATGGTTCAGGAGTGGACATTCTGGGTGGCCGTTCTTCCACCCCCCCCCCCCCACAATATGATCGCAGAAGAATGTTCCCTGGCTGCTTTTAATGCAGATGACTGGATTTTCAGCTAACTTGTTTCCTTTTTTGACAATTTGCGTATCTCCTTAGAAAAGATGGGGGGGGAGAATTCAGCTCCAGTTGTCTGCTTTTTGCTCACAGCGGCTCGACGGTGGGGAGGAGCAGTTGTTCCACCTTAAAACCACATTCAGATAAGGCAGTGAGACGCCATAGTGACCTCGAAGTCACTGCTAAACGGCAATGAAATGATGCAGACAGCCGATGCTGAGATGAAACAATAGGAGAGTGGGTGCGGCATGAAATGTAGACAGAAATTTGCAAGATGATGTGAGATCCTTGGCACAATGGTGGGAAATACCAATGCAGATTGGACCATTGTCTACTCTGACTGACAGTGGTTCTACAGAGTCTCAGCAGAGGTCTTTCGCATTACCTTCTACCTGGTCCTTTCAACTGGAGATACTGGGGATTGAATCCAGAACCTTCTGCACGCAAAGCAGAGGCTCTTTCACTGAGCATTAACCTTTTTTAAAAAAATGATAGATATTTTTTAGTATTTTCACACAAAAAAGGTAGGATACGGAAGTGAAGAAGAGGGAGGGGGGAAGATAGATTCATCAGGTTTGTCAGGTATTATGAGCTGTTACTTACAAGAAGTAAAATCAGATGTAGTACCAAATGTATTACATATTTCAAATACAGAAGCAGACAATAAAACATCAATATTACAGAATTTTGGGATAGATTCTCTCTTTAAAGAGTAAACAAGAACTTTCCTAAAGTTAGCAATAATCTATTAACAATAAAAGAGATTATATCTTTAACAGTTGAATGAACTTCTATGCTAAAATTAAATTGTAAAAAAAAAAACCTTAATATTATCTTAAATGTTTATCTAAATCTAACTTTTATTCTTACTAATTATTTAAATACTAGTGGAATACAGATTAAAATATTGAAACTATAATCAATAGCTTCATCACCTTTAAGATGATATTCAGACATTCGAAAACTAAAAAAAGTTAATTATTCCCAAAGTATGAATAATACGCCTGCCACTTCTGCTGAAATTCTTGCAATTGACTTCTGTTTATACAATTGGTTAATTTTGCCAATATTGCATACTCAGCTAGTTTTTCTTTCCAGATCTCTATTGTAGGACAGTCTTCTGTCTTCCGTTTCATTGCAAAGAGTACTCTGGCAGCTGAGCATTAAGCTTGTTCAGATGCAATGAAAGCCACTTTGGGATTAACCCTTGTTGCTCAATTATGTACCAAACGTTCCTCAGCCCCTGTGCTGTATGATGCTGTATCTCACCAGGACAGCTAGAATTGTGTTTGCAAGACTTTGCAAAGTGAGAAACAGCCCTGTCAATTGAAGAACAGGCACAAAAACATCTGGAGATTTATCAACTGATAAAACTGACTGATTTAAGGAATGGGAAGGATCCATAGCAAACAGAGTTGATTTGGAAACCTGTAATGCAAAAGGGATGCCATTTTGTTACGTAAGGTCCCCTTTTGTTGCTGCTGTTCTTGTAGCATTTTTTTCTTTGTAATAAGGTTTTTTAAAGAAAAAATAATTGTTTCAGCATGCGCTCCCACCACAGTGTTTCTTTTCATCTCTTTTTCCTCTTTCCCAGTGTATTATTTAAAAAAATGATTTCTCTTATCCCCTGCAGTTGGGCTTGCTGCGTGGTTTTGTGTGTGTGCATGTGACTCCACCTCCCACCAATGTTCCCTCTAACCTGTGGAGTCTTTTCTCCTTGGTGAGCTACTGCCATTAACGTTGTGAACAAGTGATTTGGCTGCTGCATAAATTAGTTTGCTCTGGAGCCCTCCTTCCTGAGCTAAGACAAAAATGTGTGAGCTAGAGATTAAAAAACAGTGAGCTAGCTCACACTAACTCAGCTTAGAGAGAACACTGCCTCCCACAGTGGTTATTTTGTGGTTGTGCCCTCTCCCCGTGTCAGAATTTCCGAGGTGCCCACAGTCTTCAGAAGGTTGGGGACCCCTGTTCTATACCTTACCCCACACTAGCATTCTAGATGTGGACCAAGTTGATCAAAATATGCAGTAGATCACTGTGGCATGGTCCATGGTGTAAAGATTTTTAATGCTGCCTTAAGTTTTGCTATGCCAGTCCTGATGACATCATCAGAATGCACATGGATTGTGACAGCAAAATGCAGGGAGGATCGATCTTCAGCCTGCTGGTGTGAGTTATAGAAACCAGATCAGATGACTGGCCTAAATTACACCTCCACAATGTGTTAATAGTTTTAGCTTTCAGAAGAGCTTGCTCTTGACTCTAGTCTGGTTGCTCTCCATGGATCTCAGGAGGAGAGTGAAACATCTCCAGACACTGGCCCATGAATATCAACAAGATCCGGGCCTCATGGGAACCAAGCAGCTCACCATACTGCAGGCCCATGTGGAGAATATATGGAACGCTTACACAGATGCCTTTGGCAGAAAAGCAGACAAGGAGGAAAACAAGTCGGAGGTCACCACCAGCGATGAAAGTGATTCTGACATTGATGAAGATGGTGAGATCCTTGAACCAGGCCATGATGTCCTCCAAGAGATGGGTGATGAAAACGTGAGGCTCACCAGCGAGATGATGGATCAGGCAGATGAGAAGAGAGAAGAGGCTTTCGATGCCCTTGAGGAAGGTGATCTCCAAAGAGCCCTTGAGTTGTTCACGGAGGCCATCAAGCTGAACCCCCAGTCCAGTGTGATGTACATCAACAGAGCAAGTGTCTTCGTGAAACTGAAGAAACCAACCGCTGCCATCAGAGACTGTAACAAGGCCTCTGAGATCAACTCCAAATCTGCACTGCCATATAAATGGCGGGGGAAGGCCTACATCCTCCTGGGGCAGTGGAAGAAAGCTGCCGAGGACTTCACCAGGGCTTGCCAGTGGGATTGTGATGAAGAAACAAATGCTTTGCTTCAAATGGTGCGGCTCAGACTGCAGAAAATTGCAGAATATAATCAAAAATATGAGCAAAAGCAAAAGCTAAAGGCCATTCAGGAGCGGCTAGAGAAAGTGAGACTGGCTCTGGAGGAGCAAGAGTCCATCCAGCGAGAGAAGAATTCCTGGGACGAAATGGCGAGAGCAGGTCGGAAGCATCTCAAATTCCTCTTCATGCTCTTGGATCCCAGGATGCTGATGTCTTTCCTGGATGTAGTTTGGAATCCAGAAAACATCTACAAATACCGAAAGAAAAACTTCCTCATCAAGCTCACTCGCAAACCTTGATGGGAAGGTTACTTATGAGTGGCTTCTCAACTAAATAAACATACCATTTGGTGGGAAGGAGAAACATCTTGACTTCTTCCCCCCCCCCCATCTTTCTTTTTCAGTCCAAAGTAATAATTAATGATTAAGAATGACACACCCAGGGAAATGCTGATCACCACTTTGGGGTCAGGCAGCATTTTTTCTCCAGGCCAGTTTGGTCCAGGGATCCTGGAGGTTTTTTGCCATCTTCTGGGCATGGAGCAGGGGTCACTGTGTGTGTGTGTGAATTTCCTGCATTGTACAGAGGGTTGGACTAGATGACCCTGGAGATCCCTTCCAACTCGATGATTCTATGATTCTAATGAGCTGGCTCTCCTCTCCAAAAACATGCAGTACAAATAAAATAAGGATTTAAGGGGGGAAAACGTGACATTTGTGGGTAATTGCTAAATATAAACCATAAATGCTTACTAATGAGGCCAGTTACTCAAATTAAAATACCTATATTCAAAGAAATTGAGGAGCACGGCATGTCAGCTGTGAATGGACACAGAAGCCAAGTGCGTATCTGAAGGTATCCATGCCTGTGGTTTTATCAGTGACACGTTTTCATGATTAGATTTAAGTCAACAATCCAGAAAGGCCTTGGCTGGAATCTTGTGTCCTCTTCCATTCAGGCTATAAATTCTACCAAGACTAACAGTCTCCTACTCCTGCTTACTTGTACTGCAATGAGAAAACTAAACCTACGCTCTCATGAGCATTATTTTTTGGGCCTAAGCGGTCATGAAAAGCACTGTCAAGTCATAGCCAACCCCTCATGGGGCTTTCAAGGCAAGAGAGGTTCAGAGGTGGTTTGCCATTACCTGTGTCTCCATAGCAACCCAGGACAACTTTGGTGGTCTCCCGTCCAAGTACTAACCAGGGCCAACCCTGCTTAGCTTCTGAGATCTGATGAGTTCAGGCTAGCCTGGGCCATCCATACTACATTGGAAACACAGGGATTATTAAAAGCCCAGAAAAACCACCCTTTCCACCATCAAATAAGGAAGGAGTTCCATCGATAAGACCCCGATGGCAAGGGTAGCATCCCTGACAGCTGGAGTTGGGGGGCTTAAGGGTTGGGATTTCCAAGAAGATGTTAACAGTGGGGTAGCTGCAGAGAGGAGCAACTGGTACTTTGTATACTGCAGTCTTAGATTCCTTATGAGGTTCAGGGTCAAAACCAGCCTTTGAATTGTGCGGCATAAGAAACAGGTAGCCATGGCAGTCTTTGAAGTGCTGGTTCCAGCCTCCTAGCTGGATCCCAACTGGCTAAAGTTTCTGAATATTTTTCCAATTGCAGAGTGGCACTACTTTAATCTAACCTGGCTGCTATTGGACCATTAACTGTTGAGAGATCATTGCCTCTCCAGGAAGGACTGCAGTTGATGGATGCTTCATGTCACTGATGACCCTTCGGAATTCACTTTATATGCTGCCCTATGAACTCCTGAGATGATCACACGGCAGCATCTCGGAAAGTGGAACTGGCACTCTGCCAAAGCATTTTTCAGATCCTTTTTGGGGATTGTCTGGCTTGGTCTGGAAGGCTGGAGGCTAAAGTAGCCTCTCTGGGTTTGGAAATGCCTGGAAATTGGGGAAGGGGGGGTGGAACCTGAAGAGGGCGGGGTTTGGAGAGGGGAGGGACTTCAATGGAGTATAATGGCATAGAGCCCACCTTCCAAAGTGGCCGTATTCTCCAGGTGAACTGATCTCTGTCACCTGGAAGATCAGTTTTAGTCCCGGGAGATCTCCAGCCACTACCTAGATGTTGGCAAACCTACCGGAGGCCCATGACCCAGCATCCTTGCCAAGCTCCAGAAGTCTCGTTCTTCTCCTAGAAACCTTGCCTCGAGTCCTGTGGAGAAAGAAAGGTGGGAGGCAAAAGTAGGAAATACATTTTAGCTTGATCTGATATTCTATATCCATGCCAAACAACTCAGACTGGTCTTCGAGGTCCATTGCAGTCCTGGACATATCTTTCAGAGGAAGGGATCCATGGGCCATATTGAGCACTGCACGGCTCCATGACAAGGGGTTCTGTAAAACAAAGTTCTAGTCCAGTGGCACCTTTAAGACCAATAAAGTGGATTTTTTTTGGTGTGTGTACAATGCACATGTTTTCAAACCAGTACTTGCAACATTTGCACTCAGTAGTGTATTCTTCAAGCACCTTATGGGCATCTTGTACCATCAGTTCTGGGAATTCAAGGTCCAGTAAAAGTCCTCTAGCAGCTCACAGCAACAGGTACCAGCAGTGGTGGGCCAGCCCTCTTGCAGGGGGATTTGGGAGCTCCTGTGAATCTGCTGGGGAACTGCTCATAAGCTTCTGAGGGAAACGAGAGTTCCCTGGAAGGCAGCTGGAAAACATATGGAAGAACAATTTCAGTTGAACTTGTATTTGTTAAATCAATTCAATTTTCCTGCCCTTAGTATAAATACGTGCCTGACCTGGATGGCCCCTGGCTAGCTCGACCTCATCAGATCTCAGCTGCCAAGCAGGGTCAGCCCTGGTTAGTCCCTGGATGGGAGGCTACCCGGGAAGTCCAGGAGGTATGCAATGGCAAGCCACCGCTGAATGTCTCTTCTTGCCTCGAAGACCCTACGGGGTTGCCATAAGTCGCCTCTGACTTGGCAGCATTTTCCACCACCAAATGCAAATCTGATTTCTCCTGTTACAATCACTTCTAGTCAATGAGGTGCACAGATATACATTCTAAAGCAGCATTTACTAATAGTCATAAAGTTGTCACTAGCATGGGGCCAGTGTACACTGAATGACACCAGCCGCCGAATTGTCGGCTTGGAAACTTAGATTAGTGATTTAAATCTTAATGTTATTTGTCCTGTGTTGATTATTTAATATTTTTTAGAATTGTTCATTGTTTTTTAATATGAACCTGCTTGCCAAGTAGGCCAGGATACAAACTGCAATAAATAAATAAATAAATAACTGGAAATTCAGCTCAATAGGATTGCCAAGCTGCAGGTGGTGGCTGGATACCTCTTGGAATGAAAACAGATCTCTAGACTGAAGAGATAACATTCCCCTGGTGAAAATGGTCTGTTTGGAAGGTGAGCTCAGTGGCATTAGACCCTGCTGAAGTCCCTCCATAGGCTCCACCCCCAGATCTCCAGGAATTCCCCAACCCAGACCTGGCAACTCTGCACAGAAGCGATGTCATAATGTATGACATCAGCAGAACTCTCAACTTGAAAGGAACAGTCGTAATTTGTGACGCCTTCAAAGGTTTGCAGCTTTGGCTAAGTACAACAGCACGAGCAGATGGAGGGACACATGGGAGACACAAACGTCCCCCTTCCCCACAGTAGAGCTCCCTGTCTGATCATTCCAAGTCTGTATAGGAGCCTTCCCTCTTGCAGTTAGTAGGCGCAGCAGAAGCATTTCGCTCTATCTTGATCACTCCAGCATGGAGCTTGGGCAGAACACAACGGATACTGAGAGTGCTGACAATCTTTGGGCCTTGGTCAACCTGTACAAACAGGACCCAACACTTCTGGGAGCCAGACAATTGCATTTCTTGTGAGATTCCCTGGAGAGCTTTGGAGACTCCATCTCAGGTTTCCAGAGGAACAGATTCCCTTTCTTCTGAAACTTGGCAAAGAGGAAGGGAAGGTGCCAGCTCAACCACGAAGTGAAGAGAGTGGTTTCCCCCAGAAAACGGGAGATGAAAATATTGAGGTGAAAAAGCAAGGTTTATGGGGGTGGGGGAGAGGAAGAGGCCTAACAACTCAAGGGAATGTAGAGTTGCAGAAGGCTATCAACTTGAATCCACAGTCCTCATTCTTATACACCACCCAAGCTCACATCTTTGTCAAAATGCAGAAGTGCAGTGCTACCATTTGTGATAGCAGTTAAGGCTCAGAGCTCAGCCCCAATGGTGAACAGGCCTACAAATGGAGAGGGACACTGGGAGGAGGCTGCTGAGGACCTTGCACTGGCCTGTCTATGGGACTGTGATGAAGACACCAAGGGAAGGAAATGCATCTCTGAGCTCTGAAGGTGGCTGAAGAGTTGCAGTTCAGTCTGCAGATTAGGGTACTCTGGCTTAAGCTGATTTACTTCTATTGAAATCAGTTGGATTAATGGTCAGATCCAAACCTAGTACAGAAAAGTTTTTGGAACTTAAGTCAATTTAATTTTTACTCCTTTTAATAAAGAACAGTAAACTTTTAGTAGGACAAGGACAAAGTTCACACAAAAGATCAAGAAGAGTTGAACTAGTGTCAGCCAGTGTCTAGAATTCCCTGACCTGGATGGCCCAGTACAGCCTGATCTCATCAGGTCATGGAAGCTAAGCAGGGTTGGCCCTGGTCAGTACTTGGATGGGAGATCACCAAGAAAGTCCAGGGTTGCTATGCAGAGGCAGGCAATGGGAAATCTCTGTATGTCTTTCCCCCCTGACCTGGATGGCCCAGGATAGCCTGATCTCATCACATCTTGGAAGCTAATCAGGGCTGGCCCTGGTTAATACTTGGATGGAAGATGACCAAAGAAGTCCTGGTTGCTATGCAGAGGTAGGCAATGACAAATCTCCTCTGTATGTCAGGCAGTGGCAAACCATATCTGAATGTCTCGTGCCTTGAAAACCCTACGGGGTCACCATAAATCGGCTGCAACTTGATGACACTTTCCAACACCACCACCAATGTCTAGAATAGCAAGGTGTTAGGTAACTGGTTTGGTCCACTTTGATGTCCTCAAGGACTGCTCTCTCTTTGCTGGGGCTCAGGGCCCTCAAGAAACTTGATCAGCTGAAGATTCAGGATGGACAAAAAAAGAAGTACTTCTTCACACAGTGCCCAATGAACATACAGTGTTCCCTGCCGCAAGATGTACCGATGGCATGTGCAACCTTCAGGGGCCTGAGAAGGAGTGGGTTGCTAAATGCTCTTGACCACAGAGTTGCAACACCTTTTGCCACAGTTGGGAGAGCACATGGAGGCCAGCAGTG